ATTCGATGAACATTAATAAAAAAAAAACGTAAGACTTATCACGTCTATAAATAGAAAGGAAGGAAGGTAGAAATGGCGGACGGAAGTCAGGACGAAAAAGAAAGTCTAAAACTGGAAAGATAGAAAGAAGAAATTAAAATTAGAGAGAGAGAATCCGATGCGTTGTACACGTGTGTGTGTGTGTGTGTGTGTGTGTGTGTGTGTGTGTGTGTGTGTGTGAATAGAAAAAAGAAAAGAAAAGCGGGAATCTGACGAATCTGGTTTGGCGGGAAACAATTGCGGTGGCGCCAAATGAAATACGAAGGCCGAGTGAAAGAGAAAAAGAGAAAAGAAATCGATTCTGCATACATTGCCCGAGAAACGAATAATTTCCCGAGATTTCTCAGTTGTTGGCCAAAATTCATTACGAGCGCCCCCCCCCCAAGGGCTGACCAGCCACTTACTGATACAGGACACAGTACACTAATGCGTTTGTGTGTCTGTGTCTGTGTGTGTGTGTTTGTGTTAGTTCGTAATGTTTCCACCTAATATACTCTATGACACAATATGTTTATTACTATAAGAATATTTACCGCATCCAGATTAAGTGTTTTAGATTATGAAAGGGATACATTTAAGCATTCCCTGCTGTCTACGGAGTCATAATTTGAAGATCATCTAAAATAATGTTTATTTTTTAAATAATGTTTATTTTAAAAATAATCTTTAGGCCACGTGCTGAGAGGATCATGTATATGTGTGATTCTTCCCTTAGATAACTGTTTTTTTTTTTTTTTTAGAGTGAAACGAATACCTACCGGCCTAGTGATCAAAAGTCTTAAAGAATCGATTTCTCGGCCGATAGATATTAATTTCAATAATTACAAAACATTTTTTTTAAAAAAGATAAATATAACGTTTATATAAGTAATAGATAACGCCAGTTAAAAAAAAATCATAGCTTGCTTAAAAATCTGCGTTCATGTATCAGTGCATCTATGTATGTAAGTCAGCCGGGGCAGAAGCAGATATCCCAAAATGCACAAAGATGTATTTCAGATGGCGAACTCGAAAGATGGACAGTTCAAATGTCACATCTGCAACAGATCATACAAGACTAAAGCTGGGCTGAGGAGTCATATTCGTGCACATTGTCATGCGGTGACCAATGAAGAAATGGCATTTATCTGACAAGTAGATATGATTCATTTTGCCAGTGTACTGTATGCATTTTGTTCCACAGCAATAATGTCAGACAGTGCCACCAATATGCAACCAGGGCGAAATTATCCCATAGAAATGCATATAATTATTTAAATATGTTATCTTTATGGTCACTTTTTCGCGCGTAAACAAACACGTAGAGAAGCGATAGAGCTCATAGGCGTCTACTAGGTTTAGTTTAAAACTGTTACGTATCCATGGTGCATTAAACTCATAACATGCTAGTAATGGTCAGCTCAGCTACCTTGTTAGCCATTGCTCTATGAAGAGCTGACATACCGATATCTATATTATCTCAAGTCGCATAAGCTGTTAGCGTTGTAGGAGTACTTTAGGTATTGCAGACGTCAGTTAGAAAGATATATATATATATATATATATATATATATATATATATATATATATATATATATAAAGAAAGATATATGTATAGTAAATTATAATATATATATATATATATATATATATATATATATATATATATAGTACATTGTTTTTTGTTTTTTAAATATAACTTGGTATGGTTTGTTTTTTAATATAACTTTAAATTTAAAAATGTATAATTTATTTTATCTTAATGTTTTTATTTTTTATTCTTTAATATATTTTTTTTATATATTCTTAATATTCTTAATTCTTATATTTTTTTATATAAATTATTTTACTTTTAATATAAATTATCTTTTTATTATTTTTTATATAAATTATCTTAATTTTAATCTTTTAATATATCTCATTTTTCAGTATAATTTGTTATTTTTAAATAGGAACTTTATATATATATATATATATATATATATATATATATATATATATATTGCACAACAAAATCTAAAATTACCTCATATGGCGAGGGAATAGATCTATTTCAACTGTCGAAAACTACTTCAGTCTTATTCAACCCCGGTGTACAGACTGTCTTCGTGTCGGAATTAGAAATTTAACTTTGACAGCCGTCGAAAAATTGATACAGAATTTATCCATTTCAATGTTTCAGTCAGACGAAATGCCCGAGTCGGTGCTAGGGGAAGGCTGGAATATATTAGTCTTAAAGTGAAGAGGGTTTATAAAATTAACCCCCGGTTATTTACCTTATAACATTAAATTGCGGTTATATGAAGAATGAGGTGCTAATTATATATATATATATATATATATATATATATATATATATATATATATATATTTTTGTTTATAAAACTCCTTTTTCAGCCCTCTTTTAGTTTCAATTTTCTCTACCGCTGTTCAATGGGCATTACGTCATTTTTCTCTACTACCGTAAAAAGCGGTGGTCAGGTCTTAAAGGGTTAATCTTACCAATCCTATTACCATTAGTTTATTTTATTCTTCATTTTAATATATTTCCTTCTTATTTCCTATTTTAGACCGTTTTCGTCTTCATAATTTTTACTTACTATAGAAGGAAACACACTAGAGTAATGGATTGCGGAGTTCGAATTCCAGTCGAGATCATCACATTAACTTACATGCTAACGTTGGAAAACGTATGAAATCAACTCTTATCTCCACGAACTATGGGTAAATAACAGCACAGACTGCGTTCTACAGCCTTGGATGGCAACCGGTCTAGGAGAAGAAAAACGCTGAATTCAAAACAGTATGTAGCCCTGGCTGAGCACAAACTATACAGCTAAAGAAAGAATCGTTCGCACTGACACGATGATCCTGACTACCGATTAATAATTAAAACATTTTAAATCGCTACATAAAAGCTTTCATGTTTCAATACTATGATTTATACTTCCCCGGGAGATGGTTGGTAACTGGTGATAAAATGATATTTTTTAGTGAAATTTAAAAACAAATTGTTATCTTTTTGGTGAAAGTTAAAGGGAGCGCGGCATAAAGTCACGATTAACATGAAATTGAAACATGAAAACTTTTCTGTAGCGATTTGAAATGTTTTTATTATAATCTCTTATAATAAAAATATAATAATAATATTTTGCTCCACTTTCTATTAGGCACCTTTTTAAAAGTAAACGAATTGTGGATTTTTATCCATTTGTTCTTTCTTTCATTTCGATATATATATATATATATATATATATATATATATAAAGAAATTAGTGGGTTATTATGGGTCAACTTCATATTTTAGTGGGTAAACGTTTTTGAGTAGGTATTATTGTTAATATACAAACAATAAAATTGACTTCTACCGGCCTTGCTTTCGAAATTCTTATTAAAAAGATATCTTCCCCATCAAATGATATGACTGTGGATATGATACCTTGAAACTGAAAGTATCGAATTTTAATAGCTAACTGAACAAATTTATTCAATTTATGCTTATTAATGCTCTGTACCTTGATATTGAGCACTATTGTTGCCAAAATCAATTTCAAAATCATATCTTTCAGAAATACCTGGGTGACCTCTTTTCAGCAAAATAGAATCTTACTTAATGTTAGATAGATAGATATGAGCAGAATGAGATAGATAGATAGATAGATAGAGAGAGAGAGAGAGAGAGAGAGATGAGCAGAATGAGATAGGTATAAACTGAATGAGATAGACAAACATGAACAGAATAAGATCGATAGATGGAATTTATCCTAGTGAGACAGACAGACGGACAGACAGACAGACATTGATGCTTGTATATGGAAGCTAATGTGCGCCACCAGCAGTGACTCTCGTCGAGAGCATCAGCTCCCACGTGCATCTGATCAGCCAATAACCGCAAACTATTCTTCGTACAGCCTCTTCACTTTCTAACCGCGTGCATAAATGTCAGTCACGTGACTGCCGCTAGTAATTATTGCTTGCAAGAATGTCACTGGCTTGGGGCCTAATTACCCAACAAATCCTCACTTTCCCATGTGATTTGCTTCAGTTTTGTTAGCCTGATTTCTCCATTCAGTTCGACCAGTTAACCGTATCTAGAGATTAAAAAAATACATTGGGTTGGGGGGGGGAAGAAATTGCGAACAAACTGAAACGCACGCAGCAAACAACATGGCGAAATACGATGTACAAGACATATTTTCCCGCCTATTCACGAAGTGGAAACGACTACGAATTCTCATCGCTAGAGATGATGTTTGATATTCTTTATTTTTTTCACATTTTTGATAATATAATTACTTGCTATAATTGCTAATCTTTTAAAGCATAAAAAATACGAACAATAGCGATAAATATCGTATTAAAATACAGCACATTTCTTGTTTGTTAATCAACTATTTGTGTCGCACCAAGTTACGAGACGACAACACTGCCGCCCTCTCTGTGCTACTATACGGCGCCGGGACATGGCCTCTCAGTAAGACCCTTGCCTTTCGCGTCCACGGCTTCGAGTCCCGCGCCATCAGGACCATAGAGGAGGTGCACTAGTCCAATCTTGTGTTCAACGATGGGCTCCGCCAGAGGATTGGCCAAACAAGCATCCTCCGTATCATCGATAAGCGCCGTGCTCGTTGACTCGGTCACGTCCTGGGACGACCTGGTGACCACCCTACCAGTCATCTACCTGTTCTACCCGCCATCTGCAGACTGGAGACGGATCTCGGGGCAGACTGCGCAACCTTCGGAAGGACGTCATTTTTAAGGATCTTCCAAATAAATCAGGCTGTCACAGGGAGGATGTTGCGACTCTCTGTCAAGACAAGGAGATCTGGATGGGCCAGGTAGCTCACGAGGGCTAAACGAATTCATGGCTATGATTTCGGTATGTAGGTCGGTAATTTGGTAGGCAATCAACTCATTATCAATGGCGTCTTTGTCTTATCTGTTTAAATTTCCTGTTTGTTTTCAAAAAGGCGTTCATGAAGATGGATTCCCATTCATACGTTTCTTCTTCTTCTTCTCCTCCTCCTCCTTCTTCTTCTTCTTCTCCTCCTCCTCCACCTCCTACTTCTTCTTCTTCTTCTTCTTCTTCTTCTCCACCTCCCCTCTCCCCCTCCCCCTCCTCCTCCTTCTTCTTCTTCTTCTTCTTTACTTCCTCCTCCTCCTCCTTCTTCTTCTCCTCCTCCTCCTTCTTCTTCTTCTGGATATATTTGCTCTTCCTATCCTTTGTCCCTCGAAGCAATGTTTATCTTTTTACTAATCCACCCACTCCCTGTTCTGTAATCTATTTACACAATCTCTTAATATTTCCTGTCAGTATCAAATTTTCAAAACCCTCTTTCCTCATTATGAGTCCCATAGATTATCAACAGTTTTTTCTCATTCTATGTACGAGTGTTATTTTCGTTCCTATCTTATGTCATACTTCCTCGTTGGTCATATGTTCCGTCCATGGTATTCTCAGCTTCCTTCTGTACAACCACATTTCTATTGCCTCAAGTCTTCTCTTTATCTATGAGGAAACTGCTCAGCATTCCCTGCCATATGGGAGGGTTGATATTACATAACCTTTCAGCACGAATACACGTTATAAATATTACATGTATGTAAAGGGTGTTCTAATAACTTGGACCTATTTTAAATGTGAATTAAGTTTAAGCGTCTAATGATTTTTTTTCCTTTTTCTTTCAGATTTGGCGGACATTTTGGCGATATTATTTTTTCGCACATAATTGCCATGACTTAAATAACATGATCCAATAGAGAAATAAATAAATTTTCACCAACACTGATTTATTTACTGCTGAGATTGATCCATCTTAATGAAACACATAATCCGCCTTAATGAAACACGCTCTATTTATCATAACTCAATCTTACAATTTATCCCATCTGTCTCTCTTTAACTCTTTCAAGATAAATAACTGCTAAATTTGGGTTATGGCGACGCACGAACGTAAGTGAAGACAGAACGCACTAGGCGAGCAAACTGGCCTCAAAGCTGATTTTGCTAAACTGGTAAGCGTTATTTTCTTGTTTTAACGTCGTCACTAGTGTTAGATACTGGGGTTTGATCTCGCATTAACTGTAGTTGTCTACGAGACTAGCTTTCAAGCGTTTACTTCATGGAAATATTCATTGTAACCCGTCATTAAGTACTATTTGGTACCTCCACAGGATCGCTAAAAAAAGAGCATAGCATGATGAAAAAGACGCCAAACTTGACGAAAAGAAAATTTTGTCGTCTAAATCTTATGTTATTATTAAGAGGAAAGATCAAAGTTTATTTTAATTATTCTTAAAAATTTTTCCTTCTTTTTAGAACAATCTGAATTTTCATTTAAAAATCCTTGTTTCTCTTTGTATCACCGGAACTAGTAAAATAACATACAATTTTTAGCATTTTTTTCTGTATGACACACATTAATTTGTAAAATTTTGCAAAAATAAAAATAATTGTCGGATGTTAATGAAACATTCTGAAACTATTCACAGATGAACGAAATTATTAAAAATATGTTTTCTTTTATTAAAGTCGGGGCAGAAATATGTTTTTTTTATATTTATTACCTTCCCCATAACTAATTTTATGAAAACTCTAGAAATTCGATCGAGTCCATTTTAGTAATTACAATAGTTAAAAACACAAGGCTTTGTGGAATGCAAATCATGTTTTTTTTTAATTGGACCCCCCCCCTACCTGAAAATCAGCTCTGAATTGTAACATGCAAAACCTAATAAAACAAAGATATTATTTAATTTCAAATGCTTTTATTTGCTTTTAATTGTTTTTATGAATATGAACAATATTTTCTGAAAGCAAAAAAAAAAAAAAAAATTCGATGAAAAATGAATTTTTAATACAATTATTTGTTATTTTTAATTATAATATATTTTTATATTTAAGTTGTTAAAATATTATAAAATTAGTTAAAAGCCGCATCCACTTTCGTAAGTGTCCTTATGAGATAGATCTTTTTTAACGCGTTGTAAATTGTATCGTTTTCACTAATCAGAAGACCCGCAGTAATTAAGAAATGTAATTTTGTGTTTATAATCGAGATCTAATTATAAAGTACGGAAGACCAATCAGAATACAATTAAGTTGCGTTATTTGAGTTAAGCATTGTTCTCCGCTGTTAAGGCCTTTACTTTTGCGAAACACGTGTGGAGAAGTTAATTTGATTTTTCAATTCCAACTGAGAAGGGTACCTACAAGTATCAGCACCATCTTATGATATTTATATGATCTTATTTTTATATTAATGTCAGTTATGGCATTTTTTTCATAAATCAAATATCAAAATTAATAATAAAATGAATGGAAATACAAATAACACAGTAAAATGTAGTAAATGTGCATAAAATTATAGTATTTTATGTACACTTCTGATAAAATTTCATAAGAAAGGTATCTAATTAATTTATAGGTATGAAATTTAATCTAACTCTTAACAGTCTTATTTTAATTTCTTTATAATATATATGAAAGCTAAGTACAAAAAACAAAAAAAATTAGAGTGCTGAAAGTTTTCCTTAAAAATAACGAGGTAAATAACTTGTTCACTTAAATGTAAATACAGTGTAACCCGGATATAAGAAAAACCCGGATATAAGAGAGATTTCATCTGGTCCCAAATTAGAGCCTGTGTTAATGTATATATAATAGACCAAAATCCGGATATAAGAGAAACCCGGATATAAGAGGCTTCTTCTCCGGTCCCGACAACTCTCTTATATCCGGGTTACACTGTAATTTCACTTTTCTCGTTCTGTAGAACAAATTAGTCTCACGGAATCCGTCAATATGTCATTCATCACCTGTCAAGTGATGCGAAAGTTTATGACCTGCTTTGTTTTATTTTCAAATTACATCTTTTCGGCGCAGAAGCTAACTTAAGCTTGGTTCAAAATATTTTAAATAAACATTATAATTTCTGATTTTCTTAAAATAAGTTTTGAAAAAAATAATAATTGATATTTAAAAAAATTTCAAACTGAGATTTTCATTTTTTTTAGAAAATGGAAAAAAATGATTGCCATCTATCAATTTTGCTGACTCAAAAATCAAAACAATTTTAACGAAAATTTCGGACATGCTAGGAACAATTAAAAATGTAAAAAAAATACCCCCAAAATACTTTGATCTTTCCTCTTAATAATAACATAAACATTTAGACGATAACATATTGTTTTCGTCAAGTTTGGCGTCTTTTTCATCATGCTATGCTCTTTTTTTAGCGATCTCGTGGAGGTACCTAAGTACTATATTTAAACAGCCAGATCAGACCAAAAAATCGAGTATTCCTGCTACATTCAGCCCTGACAAAATTAATAATTAAAAAATGGCCATTATGGGTGATGAATTATTCCCACACTACAATCGCTTTTTCCATGGCGAAACGGCCCGAGCCTCACTCTACTCTATCGCTATTTCCATGGCAAATGTTCTGACGAGGTGCATTCCTTAGTTCCACTAACCCTGACCTTGTAACTGGGACCCTCTATGCCATGTTCACAAAGCTGAATGGTCCTTATTCCGTTCGTATTCCGTTAGTTAGGAGGAAGTTTCAATCGGGAAGCTTCATCCCAAGAGCTGCTGCTTTGTGGAACAGACTTGCGACAGGATGTTTTCACAATCACTGTGGAACTGACTCTCAAGAGGATCTTTTATGTATGTATCCACAGCTATAAAAAAATCTTTTATTTACCAAACACGATTTTATTATTATTAATAAAAAAAAAAGCCAACACTCAATAATATCAACTTTGAACACGGCCATAATGTGCTAGCCGTGTTTGGAAGATAAATCTAGATAAAATACATAAAACAGTCCATACATTCAGTTAAAAGTAAAAATTAAATCATCCTTGACAATGTCTAAAAGTACAGCTGAAATCACTCGAACCTCCAGAACATTCAGACAAAAATGAGAACACAAGAAAAATTAAACAAAAAATTATCCGCACTACCTTTTCAATCGTTTTTATGAAACACACACACACACATATATATACATACATACATGTATATATATATATATATATATATATATATATATATATATATATATATATATATATATACAATAAAAAAATGTGTTAACAGATTAAATGGAGAGACTGAAAAATACAATTAATGCCTGGGTGTAAAATTCAGTAAAATCATAGAAGAAATTACGAAATCATATTTAGAAACCTGTAAATATACAGGATGATCTGAATGTTTTGTCAACCCTACATAATATAATTTTCTATTTCAGTTGGCTGACACGAGTTCCAACAGTTTGAAAAAGAGGCTTCTAGATGTTTGTTTTGGTTTGGTTTGGTTTGTTTTACGGCATATCAACCTCAATCGGTCACTTAATGCCGACAACTTTTTTTTCCTGGTAATATTTTTGTTTTGTCAAAAATCTATTTCTGGTAATATTTTTTTTCCTCAAAATTGTATAGCTGGTAATATTATTTTCAAAAATATATTGCTGGTAATATTTTTTTTTTTCAAAAAACGTATTACTGGTAATATTTTTTTTCAAAAAATGTATTGCTGGTAATATTTTTTTTCTTCATAAATTTATTTCTGGTAATAATTTTTTCAAAGTATGTCTGGTATTAAAACCTATTTTACACTTTCAAAATGCTTTTTTTACCTCAGTTTCCTGGTTAACTATTTGTCCATAGTTGGGACCCTAACAGGTGCTACCACCCCGGGTCAGGGTGGACCTGAGAACATCATCAATTAAGAGGTGGCCCCACGCTCCTCAAAGCCTACTGATCAGAGGCCTTGCTGCTGGACATAGTCTAACGTCTTACCCTGGACACGGATGTAGTTTATCGTCATACCCAGGACGACCTTCTCAATGTGTGACAGCATCAATGAAAGTGAATAAACTGAATCCATTACATATGCTTTGTATTATTGCATTACTTGTTCTATTGTTTTCATTACTTTTTTATTAGATGGTACGGGTCTTTCGGGCCACCCTGTATGTTACAATTCCTGCAGTATAGGTTCATTAGATATTACCCATAACTTGTCATATTGATAAAAAAAGAAAATCTGGTAATACGGAAAGTATCCATGCAAACTTTTGTATTCCAACTATAATCAGTACTGGAAGCAATTAAGAAACAATATTTTTTAGTGAAGTACTTAATGCAGCAATAACAATTGGTTTTGTTTGAGATGCCACATCTGAATTTCATTTTGAAGGTGCTTGTATTTATT